TTGCCGTGTAAATTCAACAGTTGAACGAGATGTCTAAGAACTATTGTGGACATGCAACCACGAAGCAAAAGGAACCTTTAATTGAAGTTATGAACAATGATGACGTTGTTATTCTTGTTGGAGCTTCTAGAAAAGGATCTAAAAGAAGGCAAACAAAAAGTTTGGTTAACCTGAATAATTTCTTGTATAAAAAATCAGTATTTCGAAAGGATTTTCTCATCTATTATGTCTCATTCTATTTCCCCCGCCAACCGCTGCATTATCTATGATGTCTTCAATAGGTTCATTAACAATAGCTCGTTTTCCATACTTAATAATATAATAATAAGTTCACAAGCCAGTTATTTTATAGGGAATAGGAAGCAAAATACAAAATCAGAGTACTCTGACAAAATAGTCAATAATTATTGACAATAAACAATTACAAAACAAATTACAAAGTACCGAATTAAGGTTAGAAATGCACGTTTTCACCGAAATTTGTAACATTCACCACCCTTTTCGGTGGTGAATCTATTCACCCAATAAAAGGTGAAAATTTTCACCTTTTTTTTTCATGAATATGAATATGTACATTTTTGGTGAAAGCTTAGCAATTTCACCCGGTGAATATTTTCAGCACTTTCAAGAATTAGGCCCCAGGCGGAAATTGTCTTTTTAGGCGATTTCAACGTCCACAATATACCCTGGCTGAAACACCACAACAAAACAGATAACGAAGGCAGAGAAGCAGAAGCTTTTGCCATAAGTTGTGGTCTAACGCAGCTTGTCGATGAACCTACCCGTATCTCAGAAAGGGGCGAATTTGCAGCGCTTTTAGACTTGTTCCTAACCACAAATCCTGACTCGTACACAATTCAAGTAGATGCTCCACTTGGTTCGTCCGATCATAAACTTATAATAACAAAGTGCGAAATGCTCATCCCACCAAGCCAACAACCACTTCCTCGTGAAATGTGGCACTATAAATCGGCAAAATGGAATGACCTAAAACAGTTTTACCTGGATTTTCCATGGCAAGAGGTTTGCTTTAAAACAGCTGATCCCACTATTTGCTGTAATGATATAACACAAGTAATCTTATCTGGAATGGATGCATATATCCCACATACAACTAAACGTAGAGCTAATGCAAAACCTTGGTTCAACAGCCAGTGTCAAACGGCTGTACAGAAAAAACACAGAGCATATAACCTTTGGAAACGACAACAAACCGCTCAAAACCACACAGAATTTATAGAAGCCAGAAATAGTTGCAAAATTACTATTGACTCCGCTAAAGAAACATACAATCAAAGAATAAAAAACAGGTTGCTGAATTGTCCAAGTAGTTCTAGATCCTTTTGGTCTCTTGCAAAAGCTGTTGGATCTAACTTCACCAAGTCATCCATACCAGCACTTACAGATAAAAATAATCACTTAGCCACAACATCAGAGGAAAAAACCAATATGCTGGCCCAAATGTTTTCCTCCAACTCCAACCTAACAGTGCCAAACGGAAAAACTCCACCGTTCATTGAAAGGGTTTCCCATAGTATGCCAGAGGTACCCTTTTGTCACAGAGAAATACGAAAATTCCTTAAAAAGCTAGATACAAACAAAGCAATGGGTCCGGATGGCATTCCCGCAATAGTACTCAAAAATTGCGCCAACGAACTCACCCCAACTTTCGCAAAATTATTCAATTTGTCTTACAGGCAAGGAGTATATCCATCATCATGGAAGTCTGCCGCAGTACAACCCATTCCAAAGAAAGGAAAAAAGACAGATCCGTTAAACTATAGACCAATTGCTCTACTTCCGGTGATATCAAAAGTAATGGAAAGAGTTGTGAACAATCACCTAACCAAGTACTTGGAAAAGTACAAAATTATCAACGATAAGCAATACGGATTTCGAAAATATAGGTCAACTGGCGATTTACTTACATACGTCACTCACTTATGGCAAAAAGCGATTGAGTTGCGGGGTGAAACAAGAACAATTGCCTTAGATATATCTAAAGCATTCGACAAAGTTTGCCATGAAAATCTGCTCAACAAGCTCAAAGCAATGGGATTATCGCCGAAACTTTGCACTTGGTTTGAAAGTTACCTAAAGGACAGATCCATTTATGTTGCACTGGATGGCCAGAACTCCAACTCTTACCAAATAAATGCTGGTGTGCCACAGGGAGCAATCCTTTCGCCAACTCTTTTTCTGATTTACATAAATGACCTCATAGATAAAACAGTAAATCCACTTTATTGCTTTGCAGACGATGGCAATGTAGTCTCCTCACTCATACCACCCACAGGTCGTTCCGCACGTGCATTCCATCATCTTAGACTAACTCAGATATCGCAGATAAATAACGACCTGGAGATAATAGAGGACTGGGGTAACAAAAACCTTGTACAGTTCAACGCACAGAAAACCCAAGCAGCTCTGTTTTCAAAAAAGAACAGCACCGGCGAGCCAAACATCATGCTATCTGGAAGTGCTGTCACATTACAGAGTCAGTTGAACATCTTGGGGGTTACTGCAGAGACCAACATGTCTTGGCACAATCACGTGGCAGATATTGCTAAAAGGGCGTCCCAAAAGCTGGGGGTGCTATTTCGTACAAGACATCTGTACACACCAAGCCAATTGCTGACACTCTACAAAGCCCAGATTCGACCAACTATGGAGTACTGCTCACATATATGGAGTGCAGCACCCAAACATACCTTAATGCTTTTGAACACCGTGCAAAAACGAGCTAACAAGCTGATCAATGACCCGGCACTTACTCGTAACTTGGATGGTCTCGAACATAGCAGATCTGTGGGCGATTTATCTCTCTTTCATTTATTCATTACAAACTCTACAGATTTACATCCAGTTACAGGTACTATCACGGAAAATGCTCTGAAGAGTTGGCACGTATGATTCCACCGAGAGTATCGCCTACCAGGCGAACCCGTCAAACAGACGGTAACCATGAATTTACTGTCAAACTAGAGGCACCAAGAACCTCATTATATCAGAATTCATATCTCTGGAGAACAGCATCGCTGTGGAATAAACTCCCTGCGACGGTTTTCCCTGCAGGTTACAACCTGAACCGTTTCAAGACCAACATACACCGACATTTCCGCGCACTTGCCGCTTCTCGAGCGTGATAGGACATTTCCTTGCGAGTGCGCATATCCGTAAAAAAAAAAAAAAAAAAAAAATACAGAAACTTATACACAAATTTTACTTATTGAGAGAATTTTTAAATAGAAAACATTTGATGATGGTGTATAAAGCCTTCATCGAATCCATTATCAGGTATGGTATTATAGTTTGGGGAGGACTATACAATAACAGTCTACACAAACTAAACATTATACAGAAATACATACTTAAAATTATATTCAAAAAAGATAGATTATACCCATCACATTTACTTTTCAATGATGATATTTGTAGCGTAAGATCTATATATATATATATTGACAGCATGCACTTTCATGCATAAAAACCCTGAACTGCAGCATTTTGTTGACCATAAGCATAACACTCGTACCAGAGCAAAAAATAGTTTACAACTACCAGTGAGCAACAACAATCTAAATCTAAAGTATATAAATTATTTAGGACCAAACATTTACAATTTATTGCCTTTCTCCATAAGACAATGTGGAGAGACAGTTTTACGAAATCACCGTCAATTTGAAAGGTTGTTTGATTGAGGCCTAATTTGGGTGTAGATTTAATTTAGGATTAAGTTAAATTAGGTTTGATTTGGCATTGGGGTTAAGTGGGTGATAACGGGGTTTTTGTCGATTATTCATTTTGTTACTTTCTTTTTTCTTTGTCGTTTTTCTTCTTAAATAGGGGAAAAGAGGTTGTGAACTGTTTGTGTTCGCAAACCGTCTAAGTATTTGTGATGTTTTTTTCGATTTTTTGATTCTCTTTAATTGTATAATATATCCCTAACATTAAATTAAAAATATTGGGTACCTACATCTAGAGCACATACAGATGTTTATAACATCTAGGTGCTACAAAATGAATCTTGTTTAATGTGAATTTAATTAAGAGCAAATTCTTACAACTTATTGTGAATTAAAACTTGTATGTATGATCAAATTAATAACGATCGTTACAGTTGCATACTGGGTAGTGTTTGTACTATATTTTACTGGCGACTTTGATTGATAATAGATCCTGAATTAGTAGAAGCCGCTCTTGATGAAGTTTGCAAACGGTAAGAGATTACTTTTACCAAATATAAACTGGCTGATAATTTTTTCAAGGCAACACCTGAGGTTCTTCCATAGGCATATATGCAATACCCTGGAATCGCCAGAGGAATGTTTCTGTCAAATGTCTAGACCGGACGTCGAAACTGTTCAAAGTCTTTTCCTTGATCTTTTCACACAATTGTTGCAATTTCTGGAAAACGATTCAAGGACTACCAATTGTAAGGTTCTTTACCTGTTTGCTTCTCTTGTCACAAGGAAGTTACCAGAAACCACTTGGTTTGATTTGCAGCATCATTACAAAGCAATGTTAGCCGCTATATTTATGAGGTGGTAGATGCATTTGTGTACAATTTCGCGAACGTGTATATTCGATTCCTTCGGAATCCCCAAGAAACAACCGTTGTAACAAATGGGTTTTCTACAAAATATCGCATTCCAGGAATAGCTGGTTGTATCGACGGTAGTTACTTCACATAAAAATTGTTACATCACCTTATCCAAGTAGTGTGGAACAAAGTAGTAGTCGCTAGGTCGATAACGACAATGAAAGCTAACGAATTTGTTACTGAATAGCTTTTTTAAAGTTGTTGTTACCAAGTCAGTCATTACAACAACGATATCGTTATGTAACGACAATTTACAGAATAAGCCTGTTAGTCTACTACTGGAAGGTACATTCGACTTCACAAAAACATGGCAATTAATTTGTAATAAAGAATACAACACAAATATTGTGTCCTTTTTGGTCTCATCGACTATATACATATATTATAATATTCTTACCTGAAAATGGTAGTAATATGCCAAGAAAGAATACCAACACGCTTTGAAACATAAATGCAATAAAGTACAGGCATCCAAAAATCATAAATAAGGAAATAATTGGATGTTGCTGCTTAAACTGAGCCAGAGAGGCCTTTTCGTTGGTCACATAAACAAATATTGCAAAAATCAGAAAAGTTGCAAGACTTCCACAAATCATTCGAACAGGATGGATTATTCTGAAAAAAAAAAAAAACAATAATTTATTGGACTCGCAAAGGTTAAGGTTAAGGTTGAATATTATATTCAAAAATGTGTATTTTTCATATGTTATACTTTATACTTAGTAATAATGAGTCATTATGAGTATAATAAATACCAACATAATATAAAACATCATGCGTTTGTGGCAGAATAGCATTGATAATATACAAGGGATTGTGATAAATAAAAATCAAAAATATTTTGTGGTATATTTTCGAAACCACTTATTTTATAAAAATAGTTTAACACGTTGAAGGAAAGAGACGCAGATCAGCGTCATTTCCTGAAGTTGCGATCTGACACAACGCTGATAAGCGTCTTCAGATGGATGGTTGAAATTGACACAACGCCATTCAGCATTTGTATCTACCATACAATTTAATGTGAATCCAATCGCCACAGTCACAATACGTTCGAATATCAGTGCCGTAGTGTCACACATTTGAAATTTATTTACATTTCCATTCCCCCCCACAAAAAGAAACAGAATGTCGTCCAGCGTCTGCATAAATTGGTATCTTACAGAAATGTTCACTGTCCTTCAAAGTGTTAAATTCGAAAGTTCTTTGGGTTCATCTGCTCTACAAGATTTGGACATCAAATTTTGATATTTATCGAAAAAAGGGTGGGATGATTTACCAAGGGAAGTCATAGGTAGAGGCTTTTACCAATTTTGTTGATTTAGGCCTAGTTTATTCATCTTCATGTAACCATCTGTAAGAAAAATTCACTGTTCTATAATTCTATTGGTTGGTGGATAACTGGCCGACCAATGGGATGGAAGATTGCGTTTTTATCCGTCAGACCGCATACCTGACAATTTATCAGAAGCTGAATAAACCAGCCCTTAATAACATGTATTTTGTCCTTTCTACATTAATTTATGGTAGGTACCTATAGCCAGTTGAGGTATAGATCCACACTATCCTACCTTAGGTATACCCAATGATAAATGAATGCTAAGTAATAGATAGACTTGTACCACCAATATAATGCACTCGATAATGCACTTAGTGTTAATGAGTAGTAAATACTTATCTACCTACGAGAACCACAATAGTTAAGACTAGTAGGTAACCAATAAATGCAAAACAGCGGATTGTTAATAATCAATTTTATATTGAACACAAAAACTATAAAATTACTACTAGATACTTACCCAACTATTATGAATATACTGACAGCAAGTAGGAAATAATTTGTCTGGTAATATAATAAATTGCTGGTGACTCGGTTACCCCATTTTTCCAAATCTTTAAAATAAGGTATTTGAAATCTTGCAGAGTCGAGCAAAAAATCATCCAGTGGCCTCAAAGGGGCTATTTCAACTCCGGTATCACTTTTTTTATTCATTGCTTTGATATCTTGGAAGATACTATTTAATTATGCACTCTTGTACTTGCAATGTTGTTCTGCTAACACTGAACAGAGGACCAAAATAACCTAAAAATAATAAGTATCTTAGGTACTGTTTTCCACTCACTAATAATTATAAACTGTATGTGAATACGACAAAACAAAAGTTATTTAAATATTCAATCTCAATCTATTATAAATTCTCTTACGTGCCCGCTTAAATTGAAATACATATAATTATGTCAATCTACAGTTAAAATTAAATATTCATTGTTTATCTCTGTATTTTTATCTGGAATCCTTCACTAATTTAAGTAGGTTCTATAAAAAAACGATGACACAACAATGATGGTATAAAGTATCAGCAAAAATATAAAATGATAAAAGATACACACATAAGATAATTTTTTGTGATTGTAGGCACAATTATTTTATTATTGAATTATTGGTATTATTACCATTACCTGAGTGTTTGTCGATTTCAGGATACACCGCAAGTAATATGGGATTTATGGGAACCTACCGATAGGTCTGCCGGTTCTTGGGTTTGTTATTTGTTGAGATTTTCGTTTTCTTTTTCTTTATTGGATTAGATTAGAGTGAAGTTGGTGCGAATTGTTAGGCAGTATTTCTGGCTTGGCGATACTTGCCTCTCTTTTCTTCTCGTTCATAAACCAAACCAAAATCGTGGCAAAGGGGAGTGTGTTTAGTTTAGACGAGGAGTTATCGATACAATACATCGATACACCGTCCCCGGATGAGTTGCATATCGATACGAATTTTTCATCTCGATAATATGTCGATATAAGTTGTATTCCTTTCACACAGCCGCTTTCCAGCTGACCATTTTGCGCGCGGAAATGCTTCAAGCGCGTGTTCGTGTTCCAGTTCCAGCCGCAATGCGCTTCGAGAGCTGCTAAATTTTGCGTTTCAAACACAGAACACTGTGCTGCACCGTGTTCGAAGCACAAACACATGTCAGCTGGAAGCGGCTCTAGAAGGGGCTCCGGAACAGCTCCGGGGCGTTACGCGCTCACTCCTTTCGAAAAGTTTTTGTTGCACCTGGAGTGCGTTTAGAAATGGAGTGTGAAGGTAGAGTAGTTGTTTGTCAGACTGTTCTGACGTCATCACTTGGACCCTGATCTAAAAAATAAATGGATAAGCAATCATACGGCTTGACTGGCAAAATTTGTGCGAAAATTTGGGGTCAATATTGTACGAACAGTTGTGCAACGGAACAGCCTAACGCCTGCGCAGTGTCCTATCTTTCGAACAACTGTTCTAAATTTTGAAATTGCTTCATTTTCATTGGCCAAATTTTGTGCACGCACAGTACATGTATCTACTGCACACGCTCACAGCTGTCCCAGTCAGTTGTTTTTGTTTAGATTATGACCTCGTAAATTAGCAGAATTAGAAGGGTTCTTTGTTTATCCATTTATCTCTCGTTATCTGAACGATTCCAGCGTAACGCTCCCAGTAAGCACCTGTTAATTTATGAACGGTTTAGAGCTACTCTAGGGTCACTCCCACACCCAGAGAGCTATTTCTAAACGCAACCCAAATAGGGGTCGACTAAGCCGGAGCGAGTAGATCTAGTGTTCTAAACTCTTGAAAGAAATACAACTATAGGCAGCACAAATTCGAAGCGTCATCGAACGTCATTTGTCAAACGCAAATGTTTTAAATAAATGTCATTTGTCAAGTAATAAGTTTCAATCAGGGATGTTCCAAACTGCACAATTGTGCATATTGATGCACACTTTCAATTTATATGCACAGTATGCACCCCAATCTCTAGATATGCACATTTTGATTTCTAGAATAAATCTGCCACAATTTTTTAGTCATAAATAGAACACAAAATATTCTGAAATTGGGGTTTCATTTCAGTAAATTTGTACTGAGGGTAACTACACTGTACTCTATGCATTCTCACATACTCTACATTCAGTACACTTTACTAACTTGTACGCCATCAAGGATGATACACACTAATACTACAGGATGACCTATCCTCATAAGGCCTGTGTGGAACAAATCCCCCCTCTCTCCAAATCACCAGTTGTGACGTGGGCAACATGTTATTTCTCGTCTTGACGTAGGCTGCTTAAACAGCTGACGACTTAGTTATGAAGTCGGAAATGGTGACACACCAATATGGCGGAGAATGCGGAGATCACCACCAAAAACGAGGCCGATAAGCAATCCTGTAGGTGTGTATCATCCTTGGTACGCCACTGCCTAGCCGGCCCCAGCCCAGTCCAGTCTGCTCGACAATGAAAATACAAAATATTGGCAATCGGAACTGGAAACGTTGTAAGAATAAACATACATATTTGCAACCGGCAACATTGGAAAGCAAAACAAAGGGGATGCACACTTTGTGTCAGATATGCCCACTTTTTATACTGTCAAGTGCACATTTACAAATTCTCTCGGAACATCCCTGGTTTCAATATTTGTCCATTCCATTTTATTTAAATAAATATAAGACTTAAATAATACGGAAACATGCATTTAGCCGACCAAATGTTTTTTTTTTTAATATTCGCCAAATGCAATCGTTTGGTGGTCCTTTGGTGGTCTTTGGTATCTCACTTTTATCATTTGGAGGTAATTATTTGGCCGTAATCAACAATTTAGGGCGGGTATTATAAAACTGCTTTGACAGTTAACTTGAAGTTAACTTTTTGAATTACATGTATTTTCAGAAGTTAACTTTAAGTTAACTCTCAAAGTAGTTTTATAATACCCACCCTTAAAATTTCATATGACGTTGGCCGACATACCTACCTACTTATGAATTTTATTGGACAATTTATAGTCGAATTCAACGGAAATCGTTTTGTGGTCACGAATTTACCAAATTTTACGTTTGGTGGTGTTATACCGGAGATATCAACTACAACTAATCAGGGATTTACATTAGGTTTTTTTTTTTTTTTTTACGGATATGCGCACTCGCAAGGAAATGTCCTATCACGCTCGAGAAGCGGCAAGTGCGCGGAAATGTCGGTGTATGTTGGTCTTGAAACGGTTCAGGCTGTAACCTGTAGGGAAAACCGTCGCAGGGAGTTTATTCCACAGCGATGCTGTTCTCCAGAGATATGAATTCTGATATAATGAGGTTCTTGGTGCCTCTAGTTTGACAGTAAATTCATGGTTACCGTCTGTTTGACGGGTTCGCCTGGTAGGTGCTACTCTCGGTGGAATCATACGTGCCAACTCTTCAGAGCATTTTCCGTGATAGTACCTGTAGAAGAGAGATAAATCGCCCACAGATCTGCGATGTTCGAGACCATCCAAGTTACGAGTAAGTGCGGGGTCATTGATCAGCTTGATAGCTCGTTTTTGCACGGTATTCAAAAGCATTAAGGTATGTTTGGGTGCTGCACTCCATATATGTGAGCAGTACTCCATAGTTGGTCGAATCTGGGCTTTGTAGAGTGTCAGCAATTGGCTTGGTGTGTACAGATGTCTTGTACGAAATAGCACCCCCAGCTTTTGGGAGGCCCTTTTAGCAATATCTGCCACGTGACTGTGCCAAGACATGTTGGTCTCTGCAGTAACCCCCAAGATGTTCAACTGACTCTGTAATGTGACAGCACTTCCAGATAGCATGATGTTTGGCTCACCGGTGCTGGTCTTTTTTGAAAACAGAGCTGCTTGGGTTTTCTGCGCGTTGAACTGTACAAGGTTTTTGTTACCCCAGTCCTCTATTATCTCCAGGTCGTTATTTATCTGCGATATTTGAGTTAGTCTAAGATGGTGGAATTCACGTGCGGAAAGACCTGTGGGTGGTATGAGTGAAGAGACTACATTGCCATCGTCTGCAAAGCAATAAAGTGGATTTACTGTTTTATCTATGAGGTCATTTATGTAAATCAGAAAAAGAGTTGGCGAAAGGATTGCTCCCTGTGGCACACCAGCATTTATTTGGTAAGAGTTGGAGTTCTGGCCATCCAGTGCAACATAAATGGATCTGTCCTTTAGGTAACTTTCAAACCAAGTGCAAAGTTTCGGCGATAATCCCATTGCTTTGAGCTTGTTGAGCAGATTTTCATGCCAAACTTTGTCGAATGCTTTAGATATATCTAGGGCAATTGTTCTTGTTTCACCCCGCAACTCAATCGCTTTTTGCCATAAGTGAGTGACGTATGTAAGTAAATCGCCAGTTGACCTATATTTTCGAAATCCGTATTGCTTATCGTTGATAATTTTGTACTTTTCCAAGTACTTGGTTAGGTGATTGTTCACAACTCTTTCCATTACTTTTGATATCACCGGAAGTAGAGCAATTGGTCTATAGTTTAACGGATCTGTCTTTTTTCCTTTCTTTGGAATGGGTTGTACTGCGGCAGACTTCCATGATGATGGATATACTCCTCGCCTGTAAGACAAATTGAATAATTTTGCGAAAGTTGGGGTGAGTTCGTTGGCGCAATTTTTGAGTACTATTGCGGGAATGCCATCCGGACCCATTGCTTTGTTTGTATCCAGCTTTTTTAGGGATTTTCGTATTTCTCTGTGACAAAAGGGTACCTCTGGCATACTATGGGAAACCCTTTCAATGAACGGTGGAGTTTTTCCGTTTGGCACTGTTAGGTTGGAGTTGGAGGAAAACATTTGGGCAAGCATATTGGCTTTTTCCTCTGATGTTGTGGCTAAGTGATTATTTTTATCTGTAAGTGGTGGTATGGATGACTTGGTGAAATTAGATCCAACAGCTTTTGCAAGAGACCAAAAAGACCTAGAACTACTTGGACAATTCAGCAACCTGTTTTTTATTCTTTGATTGTATGTTTCTTTAGCGGAGTCAATAGTAATTTTGCAACTATTTCTGGCTTCTATAAATTCTGTGTGGTTTTGAGCGTTTTGTTGTCGTTTCCAAAGGTTATATGCTCTGTGTTTTTTCTGTACAGCCGTTTGACACTGGCTGTTGAACCAAGGTTTTGCATTAGCTCTACGTTTAGTTGTATGTGGGATATATGCGTCCATTCCAGATAAGATTACTTGTGTTATTTCATTACAGCAAATAGTGGGATCAGCTGTTTTAAAGCAAACCTCTTGCCATGGAAAATCCAGGTAATACTGTTTTAGGTCATTCCATTTTGCCGATTTATAGTGCCACATTTTACGAGGAAGTGGTTGTAGGCTTGGTGGGATGAGCATTTCGCACTTTGTTATTATAAGTTTATGATCGGACGAACCAAGTGGAGCATCTACTTGAATTGTGTACGAGTCAGGATTGGTGGTTAGGAACAAGTCTAAAAGCGCTGCAAATTCGCCCCTTTCTGAGATACGGGTAGGTTCATCGACAAGCTGCGTTAACCACAACTTATGGCAAAAGCTTCTGCTTCTCTGCCTTCGTTATCTGTTTTGTTGTGGTGTTTCATAGCCAGGGTATATTATGGACGTTGAAATCGCCTAAAAAGACAATTTCCGCCTGTGGATAGTTTGACTGTATACTATCACAGCTTTCGGATAATGTCGCGAAAAAGTTTTGGTAATCGGTGTTACTTGGCGGTCGGTAGAGGCAGCAGATAAACTTGGTCGATGACTTTGAGGTGAATTTTAGCCATATGATATCAAGGTTCGCTGGTTCTAGCTTCTCCTCTCGATGACATGAAAGGTCATTTTTAATGTACACACAGATCCCAAAATTATGTCGAAATCGGTGGTGTAGGTCATAGCC